GGCATTAAAGTCGTGAGCAGGTGATTTGGCTGCTACATAAATTAGTGTGTTCTGGAGCCATTCTTCCTGAGCTGAGACAAAAATGTGTGAGCCGGAGGCTAAAAAACTGTGAGCCAGCTCACACTAACTCAGCTTAGAGGGAACACTGCCTACTGCGCATGCGCACATTCCGCCACCGGGATGCCATGTCTCGTCGGCATTGTTCCCGTGAGGGCCAATTCTAAAAATCTAATTATGAAGCATACAAAAATATACATGTATTTATTAAACACAAATTAAAATAACAAATAAGGGCCCATTCATACCTCATATACAAATATAAAAATACAAAGGCTGATAAAATAGACCTAACACATTTCAGCCTTCACAGGCCTTCCTCAGTGGTCTAGTGCAAATATATATCTTTTTACATATTAGCCAATATGTTGGGGGTTTAGCCCGTATTCTACAGAGCCAGTTTGGTGTCATGGTTAAGAGCGCGGACTCTAATCTGGGAGAGCCGGGTGTGATTCCCCCACTTCTCCACCTGCAGCTGCTGGTGTGATCTTGGGTCAGTCACAAGTTCTTTCAGAGCTGTTCTCTCAAGGGCAGTTCTCGAGAAAGTTCTCTCCGGCCTGCCTGCCTCACAGGGTGTCTGTTGTGGGGAGGGGGAAGGAAAGGGATTGTAAGCCACTCTGAGACTCCTTCGGGTACTGAAGGGTGTTGTCTAAATCCAATCTCCTCCTCTTCTACTGTGGCAGGACATTGCAGTAACTGTTTTTCTCTCTTGTCTTCTGAATTGTAATTACTCTTTTGCAGCCGTCAAGGCCTGTTCCCGTGGCAAATTACCCCCACTCGCCTGTCCCAGGAAACCCCACGCCACCCATGACTCCAGGGAGCAGTATTCCTCCGTACCTGTCCCCTAATCAGGACGTCAAACCGCCGTTCCCGCCTGACATTAAGCCAAATATCAACGCTTTACCGCCACCCCCAAGTGAGTAACCAAGGAAGCGTCCCTGACGTCCTTTACTGACCTCGCTTTTTCCTCCTCGCCAAATTGTACAGTCGTGGAAATGACACTTTTTTAAATAGCAGCCTGATTGCTACATTCTTGACAGAAGTGCTGATTGCCAATTGATGCCTGGAGTGACCAGGCAAGTCTGTGACATTTTTGCAGAACTGGGAAAGCAGAGAAACACCGCGGTCATACTTAGCTGGATAAGAAGCCTCATCGAAAGCAGTGAGGCTTAGCTGGGTAGGAGCAATTAGAATTTAGGAAGTGCATCAATATAAACATCTTTTAAAAATAGCCCCAAGCATCCTTCATTGGCAAGATGGCAAATTTTCAGTCTTAAATTCCTTCTCGTTCCCTAAATATAATCCCGTGTTTGCTTTCATCGGATGAAACACTGGGGCCGCTCCAGGTGTTATTTTTCTCCCCAGAAAGACCTGCTGGCTCCTTCTCTCCCCTTTTCCCTCTTGCCCTGTCTGCTCTTCACTCTCCAGGGAAGTAAATAATCATGCTGTGGGGGTCTCACTGTCATTTGGATGCAGGAGCGTCCCTGGCCCTGAGAGATCACACATCCAAATAATTGTGGTGACCCTGTTCACTTCTGCCTGTGAAGAGGAAAGCTCCATGCAAACCAGATTCAGAAGTAAAACAAAGTTTGAGTCCAGTGGGCACCTTTAAGACCAACAAAGTTTAATTCTGGGCCTAAGCTTTCGTGTGCATGCTAGGGATCTCAAGTCCCCCTGGGGGGCGGGGAAACCCCCGCCCCAGAGGCCCGTTCCCCGGCGGTGCCAGATCGGGCCCCGGGGGGAACTCCACCCCAACATGCGCGTCACCCGGAAGTGATGCGGGCATGCCAGGCACGCTGGGGGCGGGGCCACGGCCATACAAGGGAAAACTCTATGGTTTTCCCTTGTATGGCTGTGGCCCCGCTCCCAGCGTGCCTGGCATCCTCCCGTCACTTCCGGGTGATGTGCGTGCGGTGCGCACGCGCATGCGCACAAGACGCCGGCCAGGAGCCCCCTGCTCCCAGCGAAGATACACTTGGCAACCCGAGCTTGTTCCTGGAATTAACCTTTGTTGGTCTGAAAGGTGCCCGACTGGACTCAAACTTTGTTCCGTGGCTTCAGACCAACAGGGCGGCCCGCCAATGCTCCCTCCAAGCTGTGGAGTCTTGTGAGTAAAACTTCTACTTTGTGAGCTCCTGGCATTAAAGTGGTGAGCGAGCGATTCGGCTACTGCATAAATTAGTCTGCTCCGGAGCCCTCCTTCCTGAGCGAAGGCAAAAATGTGTGAGCCGGAGGCTAAAAAACCGTGAGCCAGCTCACGCTAACTCAGCTTAGAGGGAGCACTGGTGGCCACCTGAATCCATATTCAGAGGTGTTCTGGAAGCAAATGGGGGGCTGCTTTTCACTCCACTTAGCCTCACATTATATTTGGCTGTTGCATTTTCCGGGGGGGGGGAGCAGCAGTTTGTGCCGTGTGTGTTCTAATCCGTGATGTTTATGAATGCCGATTTGTCTCTTCCAGACAGACCTAGGCCCTCTTCTAGCTTTTGAGGCCCCTAGTGGTAATTAAAAACAAAATACAGCAACACACAGTGCACATAAAAAGGAGGTGTGAATCTAACCAAAGTTCAAGGAGTTAACAAAGGAGACTCAGGCCCAATGCCCCACCAACAACAACAACAACAACACCAGCCCTGGCGCTGATCAACAACAAGTTCTACAATTTACAGAAGAGCAGAAAATATTCCCTGATGCCATTATTTCCGGTAGATTAGTTTTATGCACCCATGGCCCCACGTGTGTACAGAGAACAGAGTATTAGTATTTTTATATATTTATTTACGTGCCTTGGAGTCTTCATGCATTACATCTCTAGGGTAGGGTCACCAATCCCCCCCGGTGGGGCCAGCGGATCCCCCTGATTTTGGGGGGGGCAGCCCACCAGCAGCCAGCTGGCCAGCGAGGGGGGCCCCTCCCCTGAACAGCACTGTCCCACGGGGATGCTGCCCGATGCAGTGATGTCACCAGTAGTGACGGCATCACGATGGAGCCATCGTGCAGCGACACTCTAGGATTCGAGGGGGGCTCTATGGTTACCATAGAGTTTTTGCCCCAAACACCAGAGCGTCGCCATGCCACGCCCTAGCATGGTGATGCCACTACCAGCGGCACCATTGCGCCATGTGCACTTTGCGCGCGTGGCCGAAGAATCCCGGTGAGGCGCCAGGAGCGCCTCGCCAGACAAAAGGTGAGACCTGGCAGCCCTGCTGTAGGGGTGCATCTAAGGTATTTTGGTGTTCCTGTAAAAATGTCAGGCCGGGATCCCCAGCCTTTTGGGGCCTGTGGGGCACCTTCGGGATTCTGACACAGGAGGTGGGGCCAGTCACAAAATGGCCACTGCAGGAGGTGGGGCCAAGACCACAAAATATCAGGGAGCGAGATTTGATATAACTCTGATGGCGACAGTTCAACATCTGAAGCAGAAGCTCTGTTTAATGGAATGCTTTTCAATCTGCATAGCCAATCCGAAGCCCCGCTCGGCTAAAACCCCACCCAGCCACGCCTTCTTTCTAAAAGCACTCGGCAGGCACCAGGGAAGGTGTTGATGGGCACCGTGTGGGGGGACCCCGATGTAAGGTGTGAATGCGAATCACATGCATCCAAAAAGACACAGATATCGTACAGCTACGCTTAACGGGGATTAAGGGACTGGGTGTAGATCCCTGGTGAGGGTAGAAATGCTTTTGCCCTTTTTTTGCATCCCCCTGGGGGGAGGTTTTTATTGGGGGATTTTAAAGACTACAAAACTACAACAGAAAATATGGGGAAGGGAACTACATCTAGTGGGAGAAAGAAAAAAGACCCACAACTAACTAAAAACCCAAGGGTAGGAGATCAATACAGCAGCTTATCACCATGCTATTTTCAAAATACTACTAATAATACAATGAACTTAGTCAATTATGCTAGATTAATTATCGTTTAACCATCCCTTTAACTGTTTAAAGAAGTTCCCAGAGCATCCCCAAGTTATTTCAACATTTTTTCAGGCACAAATCAGAGTGATGTCGAGTGATTATCTTTTCTAATCTCAGAGTGATTATCTTTTCTAATCCTCAATTTATATGGGCTTTTGGGGCAGCCGCCCCCTTTTCGGAGGGTGTAGAAAGGCTGGTTTGCCCTTCGTGGTGCATTGAAGGAGGACTGTATATTCTGCCAGAGGCTGAATGACCAGGGAAAGGATAAATTTCAAGATTGCATTTGGACCAGGGTGCCCTTTTAATAAACAGCAAGGATAGGCTTTCCCCCCCCCATTGTATCTAAAGGATGTGGGGGGGAAATATCCATTTGTTATTAGGAACGGCACTCCACAGTACAGTGTGCATTGGGACTATAGGTATTTGACAGAGATGAGGAATAAAGACAAGACCTGTGGTTGTTCTCTGGATGCGGTCGTCTTCGCTTACTGTTTTTAGCTCTTTCAAAAGTTATCTCAGTCGATTCACTCCCCAGTAGACCCAACAGCTAAACGCCACCCTGTGGAAGTCATTTCCACGTATAGCAGTTTGCCATGAGGGCCCAGCAGTATTCCACACACCTTCCACAAAACGGTGTGGAGAAAATTGGGTCTGGCCGCCCCTCCCGAGTGGTTAGGAGAACCAGTAGCCTCACAGCCCATGGGAAGCTCCGTTTCTAGAGATTTACATGTCTCATTCACACTCACAGCAACAGCATGCTGGGTAGAATTGCTTCTGCGTGGTGGTGTGTGGTAGCAACTATCAGACCGGAGCTTATTCATCTGCCACGAGTAAACTAGGCACAGGGGCAGACATCTTGTTCCGCAGTGATAAACTTCATTTAAAAAGTGTCACTGCATTCAGTCATCTTTCTCTGACCCTCGCCACATTCAGAAATCGTGGCAACCCTCTGTTTGTGATGAGCCTGACAGGGGTCGTTTCGTAGAAAAAGAGCTAGGGGAACTCATTAGCATAACTCATTAGCATATGCCACACTTCCTGACATCACCGGAAGTGTGTCATAAGGCCACACCCCCTGACATCACCGGAAGTGTGTCATAAGGCCACACACCCCGCCCCCAACGGTCCCAGCCGCCGCCGCCGGCCTATCAGCTCCACTGCCGAGCCCCATGAGGGGCCCGGTGGTGGACCTGCAAGGCCGGCAGGAGTGCGAGGAAGCCCCACGAAGGCCCTCCCTGGCCCCAGGCAGGCAGGGGTGGGGAGAGGCAGGGAGGAAGCAACTTACCCTCCCTCTTCTCCTGCCTCCTCCTGGCTGAATGAGGGCCGGAAGCGGGGGGCGGGGCTTCGTCATGTGCCCCGCCCCCCGTACCTCACCCGGGGGAACTGCGATCCCCCCCGAAATGACCTCTGAGCCTGCACATGCCTTGTTTGCTGTGCTTGCGTGCCCTCTGCTTCCTCCCTCGGTGTGCAGAACGTCATTTCAAGTTTCCTGGTTTCGGAAGCTTTCCATAAAGCTCCATTTGGCCTTAAGGCCTGGATGCAAGGACCCGGCAAGCTGAAGTTTGTTTCTTGCCTACAAACTAGGATTCTCAACGGGTGTGGAAGAAGCGGGGTTACCAGGCAATTGGCAGGGGAGGGGAGACTCAGCAGGAGCAGCAGGGAGGCCCACCCAGTGTACAGCGACGTGTCTGTGTCACTGCTCGCATGACCCGGAAGTCTGGTATTTGGGCAAAAAAACTCTATGGTAAATTTGGCTTCTACCATAGAATGTTGGCCCAGATACCACAGTGTTACCCCCAACATTCCAGTTGTGATGACATCACTTCCGGGTCACATGGGAAGTGACATAGACAGATTACTGCACGTTGGTTCGATCTCCCTCTTTTGCAGGGTAAGTTCCCCCCTGCCGGCCAGCTGATCGGCAACGGGGAGGTCTCGCAACCCTTGGAAGAGGCAAACTCCAATTTGCCACAGGTTTCTGCATTTAGGCCCTGACCTAGATAGCCCAGGAAAGCCCGATCTTGTCAGATCTTGGAAGCTAAGCAGTCAGCCCCGATTGGTACTTGAATGGGAGACCACCACGGAATTCCCGGGTTGCGACATCGAGGCGGGCAGTGGCAAACAATCTTTGAACGTCCCTTGCCTCAAAACCCCCTTGGGGCCCCCGTAAGTCGGCTGCATCTTGAGAGAACTTCCCGCCACTGCCCCCTGTGTTTAGACGTCAAAAGAACTGGATTTGGATCAAAGGCTTCCGAAACCAGGAATGTTGAATCATTCTCAGCATGGGACCAGAGGACCCAGGGGATGAATAAGCACCGCAGATAAACCAAGGGGCCACAAATAACCAAAGGTTGGTCTGAATGCACCCTGTTTGGGTTCAAAAGCTCATTTTATTTATTTAAATAAAAGTAGATGTTCCTGGTTGTAACCACAACTCAAATGCATTGCACATAAGGCCTATGGCTGAGAAGTTACCTACCTTGCTTGGGATGAAGGTCGCTAAAGGCTTGTTAGAATGATACCCCCCTGCCTCCATCCCTGTGTGTGACGTGAACAGTCCCGTGCCCTTCCTTTCCACAGCAGCGTTCAGATAACCACAGGACTTCCCAGTTCATGTTGCGTTAAAGGTGCAATGAGCAGAACGAGAAAGGGGCAGGGAGAGTATGTCTGCGAGCCGGAGATCCACAGGGAAATGTGATGCTAGAACAGGACGTGAAATCAGCCCAGCCAAACACCCCGTGAACCACGTGACCGTTGTCCAGTATAAATCTGTGCGTTGTCATCACACTGCAGATGCTAAAGGGAAAGTTCACGCTTTCTCTCCCTCTTCGATCCCAGCCAACCACAACGATGAGCTGCGCCTGACGTTCCCCGTGAGAGACGGGGTCGTCTTAGAGCCCTTCCGGCTGGAACACAACCTGGCAGTCAGCAACCACGTCTTTCACCTACGGCCCACCGTCCACCAGACGCTAATGTGGAGGTAGGTTTCTCGGAGTGCCATGGCGGGGGGGGGATCTCCTGGTTTTGAGGGGGGGGAATGGAGGGCAAAATACAGGGAAGGTGGAAGGCAATCGTGTGTTTAACCTTGGGACATGTAAGAGCAAGGTAGTTGTTGTTTTCTTCTGAACCTCTTCAACAGTTTTTTATTATTATTTTTAAATCCATGAGTTTTCAGTGTATAGATTGAAAACTTCATTTCCTTCTTGAGAGTTCCAGTACCTAAAAAAAAAAAAGCCCTGTGTAAGAAGCACATTTACCGTTGCAAGCTGTGACTGGTTGGCTTAGACAGTTTGTTGTTGTTCAGTCGCTCAGTCGAGTCCGACTCTTCGCAACCCCACGGACCAGATCACGCCAGGCCCTCCTGTCTTCCGCCGTCCTCTGAAGTTTGCTCAACTTCATACTCGTTGCATCTATGACACTGTCTAACCATCTCATCCTTTGCCGTCCCTGTCTTCTTTGACCTTCAGTCTTTCCCAGCATCGGGGTCTTCTTCTCCAGTGAGTGCTCCCTCCTCATTGGGTGGCCAAAGTCTTTGAGCTTCAGTTTCGTTATCTGGCCTTCCAGGGAACAGTCAGGGTTGATTTCTTTGAGGATTGACTGATTAGACTGAGCCAATTGTAATTGAATATGATGAAGGTGGAGGTCCTGTGTCTGAGTCCAGGCGGCCCGGAGGTAGAGATCCCGCTCCTGACCAATTGGTGCCAGCGCCAGAGGTTAGGAGTTCGGGAGTCCTCTTGGATGCCTCCTTAACAATGGAGGCTCAGGTAGCAGCCACTGCCGAGTCGGCCTTCTATCCTTTTCGGCTGATTAGGCAGTTGGTTCCCTTCCTTGAACACAACAATTTGGCAACAGTGATCGACGTGATGGTCACCTTGAGATTGGACTACTGTAACGCTCTCTACTTGGGGCTGCCCTTGTCTCAAATCTGGAAGGTGCAGCTAGTGCAGAACACTGCAGCCAGGCTGTCGATGGGTATCCCTATGCAGGAGCACATCCAGCATGTACTGAAAGCACTGCACTGGCTGCCGATTAGCATACCAGGTTCATTTCAAGGTGCTGGTTTCAACATTTAAAGCCCTATATGGTCAGTATCCGGCATACCTAAGGGATTGCCTTTCCCCACGTGTTTCCTGGATAGCACTGCATTCAGGGACGCAGAATTGGTTGGCCCTCCCAGGCCCCAAGGATGCCAGGCTGGCTACAACCAGGGCCAGAGCTTTCTCGGTGGCATCGCCATACCGGTGGAATGAGCTCCCGGAAGAGACCAGGGCCCCAAGGGACCTTTTACAGTTCTGCAGAGCCTGCAAGACGGAGCTCTTCCGCCAGGCTTTTGATGAAGAAGCCGCATGACACACCGAGGAGTGTCCCTGTGCCCTGGCTTCACCATCTTTCATCTCCAGCCTGTGCGTGCCGCACAGGCAGTTGAGTGAACTGAGCTGGCATGAATGCCATTGGAACGTATGGTCACCTAAGCTGTATCATAAATAACTTTGCTCTTGCTTTTATCAGATCATGTTCCAGTGTTTTAGGAGTATTTTAATAACTGTTATTTTATGTTTATATGCCTTTGATAGGTTTTAAGTGTATTTTATATGAAATTCTATGTAAGCCGCCCTGAGCCCGCCTCGGTGGGGAGGGCGGGGTATAAACTGGAATAAATAAATAAATGTAGTGTTAGATTCAGAGTCCAGAAAGGTGCACAGACACACACACACCCCTTCTGAAGCATAATGCATGACAGTGTGCTGTTTGATGCAAATCCTCTCTCTGGTTTCACAATCCTTCGAGTAACCATAAGAGGAACAAAAGAGCAAGGAAGGTTTTGCAAATTAAGTTTCATCTGAAGGATGGCTCTGGCTTCAGATGGCTTCAGCGACGGATGCTGTAATCTTTCTTGTCCTATAATCTGCTGTCCAAACAGGTGAGTGATAAAACAGTGTTAGCAAACAGTCACCATAGCAGAAGCTCAATGACGAAGGTGACGGCCCTGGAATCTGAATGCTAGGGTGGGGAGCAGGTGAAAGGGGCTCCACACTTTAAGCAGCAGTCAAGATTGCTGTGAGGACATCCATGCATTCTCCTTAGAGTACAGACAAGCAATCTGTATCCTTATTGTTATGTCATGTGCACTGGGGATGCATGTTATGTGCACTGGGGGGCCCAATTAGGGTTCACAGATCCCTGCACATGGGCACATAGGGTTCCCAGGAAATGCTGCTAGCAAGTAGTGGGAGGATTGTGGATGGGGAAGCGGACACCGGCTGTTGAGTTACATCCAGGGGTCGTTACATAGAAAAAGAGCTAGGGGAACTCATTAGCATAACTCAGCATATGCCACACACCCTGACATCACCAGAAGTGTGTCATAAGGCCACACCCCCCGCCCCCAACGGTCCCGGCCGCCGGCCTTGCAGCTCCACTGCTGAGCCCCATGAGGGGCCCGGCGGTGGACCTGCAAGGCTGGCGGGAGTGCAAGGAAGCCCCGCGAAGGCCCTCCCTGGCCCCAGGCAGGCAGGGGGGGGGAGAGGCAGGGAGGAAGCAACTTCCCCTCCCTCTTCTCCTGCCTCCTCCTGGCTGAATGAGGGTCGGAAGCGGGGCGGCCGGAAGCAGGGGGCGGGGCTTCATCATGTGCCCCGCCCCCATACCTCACCTGGGGGAACTGCGATCCCCCGCATTCCCCCCCCAAAATGACCTCTGGTTACATCACTTCTGGTAAAAATCCAGAAGTGACGTAGGGTACCGCTAGGAATTGACAGAAACTATATGATAAAACCAGACAGTTCCTGGCGTTTCCTAGGGTTACCTATGTGAACATAGGTTAGGACTTTAGGGGTAACTTTCCATTGATCTGAATGCTCACCTAAAGCATTGGGATCACTGTTCCCAATTTGTGTAACAACCTCTATATCTCTCACGAGGTCTTGAGACCTGCTCAAAACCAAGTCCACTAGAGGGGTAAGCTCTCTGACCAACTGTTCCAGTGCACAGTCATTTATGATGTCAAGGAATCTCATTTCTACAGCATAACTCGAACACATGTTTACCCAGTCAATGTGAGGGTAGTTGAAGTCTCCCAGTATAATGACATTATCTGCTTTAGTCACCTCCCTTGTTTCCTTTTCTAACTCAAGATCCGCCTCAAGGGTTTGTTCAGGTGGGCAAAGTACACTTCAAGTAACCATTAGGGCCCAGTATCACTTTTATTGGAGAGGTAATTCCCCTGATGTTTTCTAACTTATTTGATTCTATACCCTCTTTGATGTACAGCACAACACCTTCCCCAACCCGTCCCTTCCTGTCCTGCCTATAGAGCTGATACCCATGAATGACTGTATCCCTTAGATTTTCCCCATTCCACCAGGTTTCTGAGAGACCTACTGTATCTAAATTGCCATTGAACCCCAAGCACTCCAGCTCCCCCATTTTGGCTTGCTGCTTCCTGGTTTTCCCCAGAAGTGACATAGCAGTGCCCATGACGTTGTGCCCTCGTGGCTTGTTGGCAAGCATAGGCTGGCAACCGTAATTGTGGAACTACATGCTTCCTGCCCGGATCTCTCCCTGCTTGCAAAAACTTTCCGTTTTTAATCCAGTTGCATTTTTTGTTGTTCAGTCGCACAGTCAAGTCCGACTCTTTGCGACACCATGGACCAGATCATGCCAGGCCCTCCTGTCTTCCGCCGTCCTCTGAAGTTTGCTCAATTTCATGTCCGTTGTATCGATGACACTGTCTAACCATCTCATCCTTTACCATCCCCATCTTCTTTGACCTTCAATCTTTCCCAGCATCAGGGTCTTCTTCTCCAGTGAGTGCTCCCTTCTCATTGGGTGGCCAAAGTACTTGAGCTTCAGTTTCATTATCTGGCCTTCCAGGGAACAGTCAGGGTTGATTTCTTTTAGGATTGACTGATTGGATCTTCTTGCACTCCAAGGGACTCTCAAGAGTCTTCTCCAGCACCATAGTTCAAAAGAATGTATCCTTCGGCGCTCGGCCTTCCTTATAGTCCAACAGTTGCATTAGCTGTGATTAAAGGGGACATCACTACTGAACTGACCTTCACCATGATTCGTATGATCCTAGGGCCCTTAAGCACAATCAATGGACAAGCGGCTCTTAGTCCGCACCAGTCTTCAGGCAGAGCTTTGTGGAGTTGCCCGATTGTTGTGGCACCAGCTGGGGGGCATCGGCAAATCGACCGCGGCCACTTTGTCTCCTTTATTTTGAAACGGACGGCAGTTTTCCACGGGTCATATCCAAGAGTTAATGCTCTAAATTTGAGACCCTTATAGCTAAGTTGCCTTTCATTATCTCGGCGTAAACACAGCAGAGGGAGCCTGTTTGGTTATTTGCTGATCCTTATTAATAAGTAATCACTCCCGGGATTGCGCGGACTTGTTCTGTAGATTTATAGAGCTGCACTCGGGCATGGGGCTGTTTCTTAATGCCTGCAGCTTTTCGAAGCGGCCAAACAAAAACAAAGCAGGAAAGGCTTAGAAAACCAAAAAATGGGAGACGTGTCTTTGAATGAATCTTATGCTGCCCATATGAATAGGATCTTTATTGTTCTTTGGTTTATGGCCTAGTTGCTTCCGGCTACTTCGGACTGTTGAACCTTATGAGTTCAGTGTCGTTCCTGCCTTTTTAACTGTTTTAATGATTTATTTGTTAGACTTGCTTTTAATGGTTTTGTGGCTGTACTGTTGTGAACCCGACCTGAGCCCACTTACGGGGAGGGCGGGGTATAAATCTAAATAAATAAATAAATAATTCTGGGCGCTTCACGATATAAGGCGCCCTCAAGAATTTCCCTTCAAATCTGGGTCAGTTCCAGGCCCACGACCTGCTACATTTAAGCATAATGCCATAGGGTGCCGGACCACATGGCCAGGCACCAGTGTTCCCTCTAAGCTGAATGAGTGTGAGCTACCTCACAGTTTTTTTAGCCTCCAGCTCACACATATTTTGTCTTAGCTCAGGACGGCTGGGTCCAGAGCAAGCTATCTTATGCAGCAGCCAAATCGCTCGCTCACAGCTTTAATGCCAGTGGCTCACAAAGTAGGAGTTTTGCTCACGAGACTCCACAGCTTAGAGGGAGCGTTGCCAAACACTCACGAGACGTCTTTGCTCCCGAACCCCACATGCCTTGCATGGCCTTAACTTCCTGAGTCTTGAAAGATTAGCCAAGACACCTTCAGCAGCAGAGCTTACCTTTTTCTTTACCCGGAGGAGGCCCACCCAATTGTTTTGGGCACTCATAAAGGTTCCGAGTGCTCCACAAATACCCCTCCACAGAAACATCCAGCCCTTGTGTTTCCCCACACGGTGACACCACACTGTTATGGGCACCTGCCCACAGTGGAGCCTGGCTGGGCGGTGGCAAGGCCAGAAGATGCGGTGTTTCACTGGGCAGTCCCTTCTGAGCCCAGCGGGCTTTAATCAATACGCTAGCTGTTCTCTTGCCACTGATGGCTTGGGGATTGGTGTTGGAAAGGGGTCAAGTCACATCTGATTTATGGTGACCCCTGGTGGGGCTCTCCAGGCAAGAGACTTCAGAGGTGGTCTGCCTTTGCCTGCCTCTGCATAGCAACCCTGGACTTCCTTGGTGGGTCTCCCCTCCGAGTGCTAACCAGGGCCGCCCCTGCTGAGCTTTCCTTGGGGTTTATGGAGCCATTGTCAGGTTCCACAGCCAACAACGGAGTACACGCTTATCGAAGAGCCATAGATGCATTAACAGAAGCACTGCTAAGAATGGCGTCGCCTTTACAAGCATAATGGGATATAGGGCATTCGTATGCACACACACACCCCTTCCATAGGCCAATTAGCCATATTCCCCCGCGCAGGAGAAGCAGCCCCAGGCCGTTAGAGTCGAAGCTGGGGACCGATAGCGCTCCCACGGTTTCCCCTCAGCTCCAGACACTACACCACCTGCACATCTTAGAGATAACAGCGTTACAGCAGAGATGAAGCACAGAAGGGATGCAGCAGCAATTAGTACACAGACAAGGGAGGCCGATGGCCTCCTGAACTATCACGGCAGCATAGCTGACAGCCATACATTCTGCTGCGAGAAAAAGCTGTCCGGGAGGCAATGCCATTCCCATCCTGTAGCAACCAGGCTAGCTTCAGCTGTTTCCGAGAGTTTCCAGCGGGGAGCTTGGGTCTTTCTGCGTGCTCCAGAACCCACTTCTGTTCAAAGAAAATGGATTTGTATCCCTCCACTCAAGGGTCATTTCGTAGAAAAAGAGGTGCAGGAGCTCATTAGCATTACTCATTAGCATAACTTATTTGAATATGCCACACACACCCTGACATCACCGGACGTGTGTCAGAAGGCAACACCCACCGCTCAGGCTCCACTGGACTGTTTTGGATTGCTAGCTATTGGGGGGGGGATGTGCAGATCTGTCCTCGCAGAGGAGGGAGAGCTTGTACCTGAATAAAACTTGCTCTTAAAGGTGCCACTGGACTGTTTTGGGCCGGGGGGCTGGGGGGGAGCTCTGCAGCTTACCTGGCTGCTTCTTGCTCTGACTGAGGGCTGCTGGGAGCAGGGGGCGGGGCTTGTTGCATGTGCCCGCCCCCTGGGCTCTTTACTGCCGGAGCTCCACTCCTGTGCGCTCCCGCAGGAAATGACCCCTGCCTCCACTCCACTCAGCAAAGTTTAGACCTTTCCTCAGTCCCAAGTGGCTATTCAGACTTTGCTGAGCAGAATAGGTGGGACGCAGGCCACCCGAAATGGCCTCAAACCTTCTGTGTTTCCATTGGCGGTGGTGGGAATTGCCGTCGAGTCACAGCCGACTTATGACAACCCAGTAGGGTTTCCAAGGCAAGAGACGCTCAGAGGTGGCTTGCCGTGGCCTGCCTCTGTGTCATGACCCTGGACTTCCTTGGTCGTCTCCCACCCAAGGACTAACCAGGGCTCCGAAATCTGACCAGATTAGGCTAGCCATCCAGAGAGAACAAGAGGGGTAGCCGTGTTTGATTGTAGCAGCAGAAAAGAGCCAGAGCGGCAGGACGTGAGCTTTTGTGAGTCACTCCTCATTTCTTCAGATAACTTCACAAGGTTGAGGAATTCGCATTCTGCACAGCTCAATGTGGTGCCTTCCGTGGAGACAGAGCAAGATGGGTGGCCGTGTTAGTCTGTAGCAGTAGAAAAGAGCGAGAGTCCAGGAACACCTGAAAGACTAACAAAATCTGTGGCCGGGTGTAGGAGCTTTCGTGAGTCGCTGCTCACTGCTTCAGGTACAGCTAGAATGTGAGTCCCTCCGTCCTTACACCTGGGAGAGTGGAATGATCTCAGGTGCCTAATGACAACAGCAGGTGAATGACAACAGCAGGCCTGATTGGATTAGGTGTGAGGGGTGGTAAGTGTGGCGAAATCAGCAAAGGTAACAGTAATGGGCCATCCAGGTTGGTGCTGTGTGGCCCTCTGACATGCAATCTGCATTTTCCTTTTCTTTTTTAATCTCAATGCAAAAAGTGCCCGAGTTCCAGGGCTATTTTTGGGCAGGAATGCAGGAATGCACAGGAACGGAGTTCCGGCTGGCTCCCAAGTTGGCCACACCCAGCAAGAACTCATTAGCATAATAGGCCACACCCAACGGCAGAAACTCATTAGGATTGGCTACATTAGGGGTGTGTGGCCTAACATGCAAAGGAGTTCCTGCTACAAAAAAAGCCCTGGGTTTAGACAACAAACAAGGTAAACAGAATAAGAAGTAAAAGGTGGGTGTGGCTGAATAACCACACTTCTGGTAGCGTGGGGCTGCGTCCTAATGTGCTAATGAGCTGTGCTTTCAGGGGTGTGGCCTAATATGCTAATAGGTTTCTGATGTTGGGTGTGGCCTGTTATGCTAATGAGTTCCTGCTGGGCTTTTCCTACAAAAAGAGCCCTGCCAAGTTCAGATGTCAAAATAGAACCGTTCATTGGGGAAGGCCTCTGAGCGTGTTCAGACAGTTGTACTTCCATGGTTGAAATGGACAAAATGACAAGAAAGCTTAATAATCAAGAATCAGAAGACTTTTTGGCAGATTGGAAGGACTTCAAAGACTATATGGAGAAATACTGGGATGTTAAAAACAATTTATTTTGCTTAGACAATTATTAAGATGGAGGGTTATTTAGATTAAGTTTAAACATATATAGATTTAGAGATAAAGAGATTCGTTTACCTGTAATAAATATATAATATTAAAGAATTGGGAAAGGGGGTGAGCTAAGAGAGAATTGGAAGTTTGAGCACTGTGGAAAGTCAGAAGGGGGGTATATGGAAGAAAAAAGGATATGAGATAACTTGTTACATGAATTATAAGTTTACTTTTTGTGATATCCTAATACCATACAACAAATAACTGAAGTGCCAGTCAGAGGCAGCCTGGAGGCCCACCTCTGCCTTTATTGTAGCACATCTTTTGTCCTTTCATTTGTCTCAATATCAGGTAAACTGATATGAATCATGTCAGGGACACTGAACCGGGATGAGAATGCTAGGTTATTATTATTATTTTCCATCATAATCCTGTACTTTGCTGTCTCAAGCATAAACCCTAATCCGCGAGGCACTTCCTGGCTGCACCCATAATCCTTCTCTTCTGACTCGTTCCACAACACGCGAGGCCAACCTTTGCATAAAGTGATTTGAGGGCAGCTGTTCGAAAAACCACATAGAACGATCATTGACTGACATTATCCTCTCCAGTTTCTAGTTTGTGTGGGAACGGCTCGCTTCCTCCTTTGGCGGTAGCTGTTTTTAGGAGCGGCTTTTCCGGATAAGGTTTGCACTGTACATCTGTGTGTGTCAGACAGACAGACATTGTGCTGCACAAAGGGAGGGGAAGGAGGGTTAGGGACAAATGCCTCTGCAGTTAGGAAGTCTAATTTTTAAATGGGTGTTTCCCCATGTGTGTGTGTGTGTGTGTGTGTGTGTGTGTGTGTGTGTAAAGTGTCATCTTTACACTTTACATCGAACTGCAAGCTGTGGAAGGTCAGTAGTTTGGCAGTTCGAGACCCGAGTGCGCCGCATGACGGAGTGAGCTCCCGTCTCTAGTTCCAGCTCCTGCCAACCTAGCAGTTCGAAAGCAAGAAATTGCAAGTAGATAAATAGGTACCACTTCGGTGGGAAGGGAACAGCGTTCCGTGCGCCTTGGTGTTTAGTCATGCTGGCCACATGACCACGGAAATGTCTTTGGACAGCGCTGGCTCTTCGGCTTTGAAACGGAGATGAGCACCGCAACCCTAGAGTCGGACTCGACTGGCTTTCGAGCAAGGGAAACCTTTGCCTTTAAAGTGTCATCCAGTCACAGCTGATTTATGGCGACCCCGTAGGGTTTTCAAAGTGAGAGACTAACAGAGATGGTTTGCCATTGCTTGGCTCTGCACAGCAGGCCTTGATATTCCTTGGTGGTCTTCCCTCCAGTGCTAAGCAGGGCTGACCCTGCATAGCTTTCGAGATCGGACAAGATCGGGCTAGCCTGCGCCATCCAGGTCAGGGTTTTCTCCCAGCGCTTGACAAAGCAGGTCCCTGTATGCCGACTAAACACGTGGCTTGCTCGACAGGTCGGACTTGGAACTCCAGTTCAAGTGCTACCACCACGAGGACCGGCAGATGAACACCAACTGGCCAGCGTCGGTCCAGGTCAGCGTCAACGCAACGCCACTTACCATCGAGCGAGGCGACAACAAGACATCGCATAAACCCCTGCACCTCAAGCATGTCTGCCAGCCGGGAAGAAACACAATTCAAATTACCGTCACAGCTTGCTGTTGTGTAAGTATGTTAGGCCTGCCTCAGCAGTTTGCTTTGAAATCTTGGCTGACTAAAAAGAGAACAGCGTTGGCATTTTGGAGGCATCCTGGTGAACCGTCGCCGCACTTTTCACCCGTCTTGGTTGATCTTTTCAAAGCTCTGTTTTTATATCGAAGGCACAATTTAGACGCCAATGAACTCCAGTTCAGTTTCTAGTCTGAGGTATTGTCAGAGCCCAGAAGGATTAAATTAGTGGCCTGTCATATATCTAGAAGTTCTTAAAAGATGGTCTGCTAGTGTAGGGGTAGACGGTCTTCACGGG